GGAGGGACAGCACAGGAGGGGAAGGCCCTCTATGAGGTGGATTGATTCAGTGACTGGGGTAATAGGGAGGGGTGTGTCAGAGGCAGTGCGATTGGTACAGGATAGAGCAGAGTTTAGGGCTGTTGTACATAGAGTCGCTATGAGTTGCAAGCGACTCGACAGCACAAAACAACACCAACACCAACACATGAGTAGAGACAGCTAGACAGTAGCAATCTCACTCCTTGACACATGCAGGTACATACAGGTAGACAGACACATGCTGTTGAGTCAATTCTGACTCATGGAAATTCTTTGTTTTGCAAAGCTGAACTATGCCTCACAAAGTTTTCAAGGCTGTCATCTTTTGAAAGCTCATCACCACCAGACCTTAGTTCTAAGGCACCTCTGGGGCAGGTCTGAGCCACTCATCTTTTTGTTTGTTGTCCAGCACTTATCTATCCAGGGACTCCTTATTTATATACAGACACATACTATGTACACATACACACAGCATGTATGAGGTTCTCTAAGGATCCTTAGTGGCACAATGGCTAAGCAATCCTATGTTAACCAAAAGATTGGTGGAAGTCACTGGAGAAAGATACAGTAGCTTCTGTAAAGTTTTACACCTTTGGGAACCCCATACCATCCTACAGGGTTGCTATGATTCTGAATTCAACTTGTTGGCAAGAGGGTTAGAATAAGGTTCCATAATGGTATAAAAGAGGACTGACATAGGGGTTGGGGGGAGACTGAAAAAGATAGGATAAATAATGTATACTGCATTGAAACAGATGAGGGAGAGAACTGTTTAAAAGGGATAAATGATTGGATATTTATGGTTATGGACAAGAGTCCAGAATGAAGGGAGCACAGTGAAGTGGACTTGGGGGGAGGGATTGAAAACAATTAAAGAATTTTTTTCTTTTACTTTTCAAAAAGAAAAGCGAATGGGGGTTAGGGAGAAAAGTGCAACAATGAATGAATGGAAATCCAAAGGCTCTGTAAACTTTCATTAAAAACAAACAAAACAATAAGGTTCCATATTAAACTTATCTAAGGGCTGAAAACAAATATTCATACACAACGTGATATACAATTATCACATTATCACAACTGGGGTTGAGATATAACAGGCAGAATGCTTTTAGAATTATAAAGAATCTGAGCAGGAAAGGATTTTTCAAAAAAGTATTAAGAATTTACTTTGTTTAGGTGCATGTCTTCTAATGAGATGGGAGAAAGTCAAAAGTATGTCCTGGGATTAACTCAAAGAAAGTATAAGTGAAATGATTAAATGGAGAAACAGCTCGCGGAATCACGTTCCAGAGGCTTGGAACTTTATGGGAAAAGTCTAAGGACAGAACTAATAAACCAGACAAAGAGGCTATGGAGAGAAGAATGTGAGATGAGAAGTCTTGTGATCATTTGGAATTAGAAGGAAAAACTCGAGATGCACAGAGCAAAGTACTGTTTTATCTTTCAACAGCCTGGCCTGCTGGGAAGAAGCCAAAACAAACAACAAACAAAACCAAGCCCACTGCCATCCACGAGATCTAGACTGAGAAACTCTACAGAGCGTAGTCGACCTCAGCAGGCTTCCAAGTCGAGAACTTTCCGTCTTTGAAGGAGCGAGACCACTGAACTGCCGAGTGCTTTGACCACTGTGCCACTAGGGGAAGAAGCCAGTCTGGGTTAATGACAGGACCTGGAGCCGTGATTAAGGAGTCGTGCAATGGGAGGTTACGCTGAAATTCAAGTTCTAACCTTAAGGGTGTGACTCAAGGGTTTTGCAATTGACTTTTTAACTTCGGAAGGCGACACAAATGACTTTCAATAAAACAAGCTTCGGTCTATAAACGGTGCTGCGGGGAGTGAAGCATCGATCGGGCGGGGTTTCACAGGGTCACTAAGAGTCTGAGTCCACTCGACAGCACCGAACAACAACGACTGCAGTCTGGGGAGAAGGGTTCTCACGATCAGATCTGAACCACGTGGGGAAAGTCTAAGTTTCTGACTGGAGCTGACAGTGGAGTCCTGACAGGTACGTCGTCACTCCCATCACCCGGCGACGAGAGGGGGCCGCACAGAGTCGGCTCCGGGTGGAGGCGGCCAGCGGCAGCGGGATGGAGGGTGGAGGACAGGGTGAGAAGCTGACCACCCTGAGCCGGGGCGCACCCCCGCGTGCTGTCCTTCCCACCCCGGCCCTCGGGTGGGCCGTTGGGTCTCAAGAGGGGCCTTACCCATGTGTTGAGTGTCCAGCTGCACAGCGGGCATCTCCTTCAGAGGGATGTGACCAGTGCCGCCATCTCTGCAGCACCGCAGGCAACAGAACACTGACGCAGCCATCTCGCCGCGACCAGCTCAGCAGCCACCTCTGCCCCTCGTTCGAGGCGACACCGCCCCCTACCCCTCGGCCCCGCCTTCCGCCCCCGCCCGAGCGCGGAGACGCAGGTGTAGCGCGCAAAGGTTGTGACAGCGACACCCTGAGGCCGGAGGTCGCGGCACACGTTGACGTGAGGCTCGCCTGGCGGAAGTCCGAGAGGAACAGGCAGCCGGCAACGTGACGGGTGGGGTGCCCCCTGTGAGAGGCGGGGTTCCCCGTGTGAGAGGTGGGGTGATCCTTGTTAAAGGGGCGGGGCCGGAGTTGAGAGGCGGGATGGACCGTGTGAGGGGCGGGGCCGACCCTGGGAGGGGCGGGGTTGACCTAGTGAGAGGCGGGGCCGGGCTCAAGAGATAAGGTCGACCTTGTGAGAGGCGGAACCGGACATGTGAGACGGGGCGGTCCTTTTAGAGGCGGGGCCGGATGTGAGGGGCGGGGTGGTAGATCCTGTGAGAGGCGGGGCCGGGCAAGAGGGCGGGGCGGGCCTTGTGAGAGGCGGGGCTGGACCTCGTGAGAGGCGGGACCAGGTATGAGAAGCAGGATCGACCTTGTGAGAGGCGGAGCCGGATGTGAGGGGCGGGGTCTAGCCTGTGAGAGGCGGGGCCGGGTGTGAGGGGCGGGGCTGAGCGCAGCCACCTCCCGCTGCTAGAACCCGACCAGGCACCCTCTTCGCCAGTAAGATACGACTCTGGAGCTGGTCGGTGCCAGGATTTCCTGGGTGTTTTGTACATTTAAGTGACTTCCAGTGCTATGTTTTTAAAACTATGGGTTGGGGCAGAAGGAGCTGATAAAAATGACCCTGAGAGCCTCTTCCTGCACACTCCACCCAGCTTTGCCTCTAAGTTGAGTTCCTCCATCAGGGCAGATTTTGGAAGATTTCCTATACAGATACCCCTCAGTCATGAGGTGAAAGTGCACTGGGGATTCCAGGCGTAGTTTCAAAGACCAGATGTCCTGGTACTGGTGCATGGGTTGTCAAACAAGTGATGAGCCCAAAGGGTTAAGGGGATGGGGGTTGTTGTTGTTATGTGCCGTCGAGTCGCTTGCGACTCTTAGCGGCCCTCTGTACAACAGCCCTAAACCCTGCTCTGTCCTGTGACAATCGCACCGTCTCCGATACACCCATCGCGATTAACCCAGTCACTGAATCAATCCACCTCACAGAGGGCCTTCCCCTCCTGCGCTGTCCCTCCACCCTCCACCAAGGAAGCATGATGTCCTTCTCCAAAGACCGGTCTCTCCTCACAACATGTCCAAAGTATGTAAGACGGAGCCTCAGAATCCTTGCCTCCAAGGAGGTGGGGGTAGGAGGAGGAAATTAAGGAAACCCAGAAGTTGTCAGATCCGAGGTCCTTCGCACAACTAATTCGTCAGTGGCCCTGTAGGTACTGGACATGCCCCTAGAACACCTATTACCAACCTTTCAGTTAGTCTGTTGTTGTTGTTAGGTGCCATCGAATCGACTTGATGGCATCTAACAACAACATTTTCCCATCACCAACCTTTCAGTTCATCTATTATTGTTGTTGTTGGGTGTCCTTGAGTCAAGTATGACTCACAGGGATCTTATGAACAGCACCCTGAGTCCTGTTCTCCCTTGTGCCATTCTCATAATCTCACACACTTGAGTCCGTAGCTATAGTCACCATGTTAATCCATCTCCTTGAGGGTCTTCCTCTCTTTCGCTGAGCCTCTACCTTTACAAGCATGATGTCCCTTTCCAAAGAATAGCCTCTCCTAGCAATAGTCCTAAGTATGAGAGATGAAGCTTTGCCATCCTCCTCTCAGGAGCACTCTGACTGCACCTTCTCCAAGACATACCCATCTGTTCTGTTGGCAATTCTGGGGATATTCAGTATTTGCTAACACCACTACTCAAAGGCATCAATTCTTCTGTCATCCTTATTCACACCAGCTCTCAGATGTATAGCAAGTTATTGAAAGGACCATGGCCTGAAACAAGTGCACCTTGGTTTTCAAATTGATAGCATTATTCCTTAGCAATCTGAAGACAGCAGACTTTCCCAATGCAATATGTCTCTTCATTCAATTGCTGATACCAGGGTATTGACTGTTGATCCAAATTAAATTGTTGGCAATTTCAATCTTTTCTCCATCTATCATTGAAGTTGTCTATTAACCTAATGGCAAGTGTTCTTCTTTTCTTGTTATTGCGATGTAATCCACATTGAAGACTTTATCTTTGATCTTCTGCAATGAGCTCTTCAAATTCCCTTCACTTCCAGCAAGCAAGGTTGCATATTCTACATAAAAGTTTTTGATGACTCTTCCTCTGATCCTGATGCCACATCTTCTTCATAGAGTCTAGCTTCTTGAATTATTTGCTCAGCATACATGTTAGATAGGTATGAGGAAAGGATATAACCCTGATATACACCTTTCTTAATTTTAAACCATACAGTTTCCCCTTACTTTGTTCAGATAACAGTTTCTTGATCTAAAGATAGATGTCATATGAGCATACTTAAGTGTTGAGATTCCCATTCTTACCAATGTTAGTCATCATTTGTTATGATTCACACAGTCAAATGTTTCTGCACAGTCATAAAACAAACACAAAAAAAGACATTCTTCAAATGATATTGTTTTTAGCTAGCAATGACATCCCAGGTGCCATGGGCTATTCTAAATCTAGCTTGAACTTCTTGCAGTTCATTCTCAAAGTCTTGTTCTAGCTATTTATGGATGATCTTCAGCAATATTTTGCTTGCATGTGCTATTAATAATATTGTTTGATAATTTTCACATTTGGTTGGATCACCTTTCTTGGAAATGGGAACAAATGTGTCTCTTCCAGTTAGTTGGTGAGGCAGCGGTCCTCCAAATTTCTTGGCATAGATTGGTGAGTATCTCCTGGGCTGCATTTGTTAGTTGAAACATGTTAATTGGTATCCCTTCAATTCCTGAGGCCTTACTTTTGGCCAATGCTTTCAGTACAGCCTGAATTTTTTTCATTACTATTGGCTCTTGATCACATGGCACTTCCTGAAATATGTCAGTGTCAACCAATGTTTTTTGATACAGTGACTGTGTATTCATTCCATCTTCTTTTGAGCTTCTTTGATTATTCAAGATCTTGCCCATAACATCTCTTAGTATTGCAACTCAGGGCTTGAATTTGTTTTGTTTAGTTCTTTCAGCTTGAGCAAGTTCTTTTCTTTTTATTCTCCAGCTCCAGCTCTCTGCACATTCCAGTATAGTCCTTTACTTTGTGCTCGTGCCACTCAGAGACTTCTAATTAAAAGTAAAATCCTCTTAAAAACAAAAAAAACCTGTCAGTTAAAAATGAAGATGCATGCTTTGGTTTTACATTGGTTTCGTTAATATGTTTCTATGTATAACACAAATCTTTTCTGGTTCATGATAACACTTCATTGGATTTCTGAGTTTTTCTGGGAAGATAATGGCCATTTTCCTTCTACAGAGAGCATGATAAATTCAAACTACCAACGTTGGCATTGAGCACATAAGGCACCGTGTCACCCAGGCTCCTTTCTAGTATTGTTGTTGTTATTAGGGGCTGTGAAGTTGAGTATGACTCATAAAGACCCTACAAACAGCAAATCTGAACCCTGTTCTTACCTGTGTCATCTTCACACTTCCTGACTAGAGCTCAGTGAGGCAGTCACTGTGTCACTCCACCTGGATGAGGATCTTCTCCTTCACTGACCCCCTACCCTTCTAAGTATCATGTCCCTCTCCAAGGAATAGCCCTTCCCAGCAACATGACCAAAGTATGTGAGGCAAAGTCTTGTCATCTTTGCCTCCAAAAAAGCACTCTGGCTGTACCCGATAACTATAACTATCCGCTTTCCACTAGTGTTCATAGGGTTTTCAAAGGCCTGTTATTTAACACGTTGCCACAAATGACGGCAAAAAAAAGTCTTTCTAAGCACGGTCTCAATTTAAAAGTGTGCAGCAACGTGTTAAGTGGATGGCCAATCCTGCTTCTTGCTCTATCTTAATCTGGGAGCTTTACTAAAACCTGTCCTCAATGGGTAACCCTTATGGCATTTGATACCCAGTGACACAACTTTCAGTACCACAGTAACCCACAAGATATCTCAGTAAAGCAAACTGACAGGCAAGTGCTGTACCAATTAGAATAAGGTTCTCCTAAAACACAACAAACTGTCAGTTTAGTTTGTAACTCTAATAGGAAATCAGTCTTCACACCAGGCCTGAGGGCCTTCTGTGCATGTTGTTGTTGTTATGTTGTACTCTGGAGTCAGAATCAACCCATAGCTGACCCTCCAGCAGGTTTTCAGAGGCAGTTAATTGCATTGGAGGAGACTGCCCATCCCAGAGCAGTTGGTGGCCTCGAACTGTGTTCCTTCAGGATTGCTGCGCAGCTTCTTGACACTATGCCACCAGAGATCTCTCTGTATAGAAAAGAAATTGTTGTAGTGTATAATATTTATTCAGAAGTACTATCAAAATTAGTACCTTATTGAATGAAATAAAACGTGCCAGAACTGAAAACTGTGTAAGGCAGAAATCTGTCAGTGAAGGAAACACACATATATTCCATTAACAGAGAACGATTTGTTGTTGTTATGTATTGTTGAGTGGAAACCGACTCATAGCTGGCTCTTCAGTGGGTTTGTGGATCATAACAAACTGTGGCTG